ATTCGGCGTCACGAAGACGTGAGAAGTCCCGTAGTGCCAACCAGCCGCATGGCCTCGAAGTCGAATTTGACTGCGGTGTCCTTCCGTGCCCAAGACGTTCGCGCTCGCCTGCAGCACGCTGCCAAGCGCGCGCTTCAACGACACGTCAACATCCGGCGACCGCAATAACTCGCGAATGTCGGCCTTCTCGCCGTGCAGGGCCATGGCCTGCAGCAGCTGTTCCGTGGTCACCGACGCAATCTTCGCACAGTGTCGACTGAAACCACTCCGCTTCACGTAGGCTTTCGATGTCCGCATAAGAGAAAGTCTGCGGTTCACATCGTACATGACAGGCAAGAGCTGCTCCTGCTGCGAGCCCCTTCACTTTCACAAATCCGCCAGCTTTCGCAAGACAGCGTCCACTGGCGGAATTATTTAATGTCGATTCTTAACTCCAAACCCCGTCTTGAATGTAACACTGCCAGGACACGGACATACTACTTTCACATATCCGCTAGCCGGCGGAAATATTTAATATCCATTCTTAACTCCGAACCCGGTCTTGAATGTAACACTGCCAGGACACGGACATACTCCACCGAGGAAGGGCCGGCGAAGCAATCGTGTCGCCATAAACCAGCTCTTCTCGAAGCAACAAATACCGAAATACCTCGCCCGCCTCCATGCCCGTCTCGCGCCTGACGAACGGAACGCCGTCCCCCCAAGGAAAAAGCTCCGGGAACGCCATCGCCCAGGTGGCCGGCTGAAACATGTTCATCGGTTCGTCACGAGAAGGTACCACGAGCTTTTGCGGCCGCACTTCAAACATCTGCTTCTGGGCTCGTCGCTCCTGCTCCACACCCTTGGCCATCGACTGCACCTTTTGAACACGGCGCAGCACTGCCCGCTCCTGCTGGCCCTCGCGCCCCAACAAGCCCACAGCATGCGGCCGATCCGGATCCACCTCGTTCTGCACCCGGCTGCGAAGGACGGATTCCGCATCCGTGTAATATTGCGGAGGCCTGCGACGACATAGTTCTTCTACATCGCTACACACTCGCAACCAGCGATTGCCGTCATCCGACTGATCGTTCAATCCAACGATGCTGGATACCAGATGGCCAGAATCCGAATCAGCACCTGAACTTCGCAAGACGGCGTCCTCCAAGTTGCTGGCGCCGGCAGCTGGACTTCGCAAGACAGCGTCCTCCGAACCGCCGGCGCCGCGACCAGGATCCGGATCAGCAACTGAACTTCGCAAGACAGCGTCCTCCAAGTTGCTGGCGCCGGCAGCTGGACTTCGCAAGACAGCGTCCTCCGAACTGCCGGCGCCACGGCCAGGATCCGGATCAGCAACTGAACTTCGCAAGACAGCGTCCTCCAAGTTGCTGACGCCGGCAGTTGGACTTCGCAAGACAGCGTCCTCCGAGCTGCCGGGGCCGCGATCCAGATTCTGTTCGTCTGGCTCGCCCTCCTCATCTTGGCCTTGCGCATCGGCCGGGCCCTTTTGCAAAAGTTCGCGGGCCAAGTAACTGTCAGCGGCCGTTTCCAAAACGCAGCCTTCCAGTGCGTCGACGTCGTCACCAGGAGTTAGGCCGGCCTCCAGCGCGACCGACCTGTAGTAAGGCGACGTCTCGCGCAGCTTCTCAACAGCGGCAACATACTCCTCTCTGGGAGCTTGCAAAAGCTTGCTGGACCGCAGTTCCTGCTTCTTCTGCCCAACCAAAACGAACAAGATGCTCTCGGCCATGTCTTGGTCTTTGGGAGGCAGAGTAGCCTGGATGGCGCTAGGCCCAGCCTGCGGCAGGAAGATCGTGTTACCGATGTATCCCTTCTGCCTCTCGTCTCGCGGCAGTGACAAAGGTTGCAAGACGGTCACCTGCATGCAAACCCGCACGATGGGAAGCAGCCGTTTTGTTCCAGCCGAGAGGTTGCTGAGCTCGGGCAATACGCGTCCGATCCAAAGGTCGTTGGCCAGCGCATGCCTGGGAAGCGTGAGAATACTGCTCTTCAAACTCCTGCGACAGTCTCTGCAAACCGTACAGGGGTCCGTGAAAGATGCCGGCATGCGGCGGCGATGCAGCAGCAGAAACTCGCCTTCAATGTACGGATGCTCCACAGCAGAGGCCTTCAGTTCGGAAAGAGCTATCTGCGGCCAGCGCTCCGCATACCGAGCGACGCCCAACAATCGGCAAAGACGGTGCTGCTGATTCGGGGCCAGCGTCTCGGCGCCGGCAGGTACCTCGATTGTCGACGCATCTTCATCCGGCCTCTGAAAGAGAACCATGGAAAACAACTCGTTCATCCAGAAACGGCGAGCGCACACCACGCAGCCTCCTTCCGCTCGGCCACCGTCCATTTCAAGAGGGCATCGCAGCTCCTCGTCGAAATTGGCAGCGATTGCACGCTGACGACTCATCCCAGGCACCTGACTGTGATCGTTCCTAACACGTTATTACGCACGTCGACCCTTTACCGTAACCGAAAGCAAGAAGGCGCAGCATGCGACAAGAAGCCATCGGACCGGCATGCTCCACCATCGCCAGGATTTTCTTGCGGTATTCAACGAAGGCGAGCTCCACATCCAGCGGCCGCACGAGATGAGTGTCCACGACGTGTTGCTTCAGCTCCGATTGCTTCCGGCAACTGAAGTCGCATAAGCGGCAGCAACACCGTTCGCACGTCACCGAGGCATCGTCCGAAAAAGTCTGGAGCAGGCGACGAGCTACCGCCTCGCTTACGGCAGGTACGCTCCGAGAGCAATTCAGCAGCACAGCGACGCGATCCAGCTTCAAAGGCAACGACACCTCGGAGTCTCGCAAGATCCCGAGCGCTTGCCGCCCCGCCTCGTCCGCGTTCCGAAGCAAGTCTTCCACGGGCAAGAAACGTTGCTTCATACGCCTGCCCTCACACCACCCGGGGACGGCGAACAGCACTGCCCGCTCCACGGCCGAACGCCAGAGAATGCCGTCTAGCGCCTCCGAGCCATCACCAAGGCAGTCAAGTGCCAGCCAGCACAACGGATCGAAATCCGGCGGATAAGCCTTTCTCATGGCCCGGGCCCTCGCAGTGGCACCGTCAGGGTAGTACGCTTCAACACCCTTGGCCAGGACTGGATTCTCCTCTCGCGAAGGCAAACGGTAACACCCTTCAGTCGTCTGCCAGTCCAGAAGCTGATTCCGCAAGGTGAGCGTGTCTTTATCTATGCCTTGCTCGCTAGCCCTGGCTGCCGACACTGTGTTAGGATTGTGCAAGTCACGAATGCCGATGCCAGCCAGCGGGTGCAACAGCTCCGTCACCAAAAACCAAGCAAATTGCGACCAGTCTTCAGACTTCCGCACGTCCCCGAAGGTCTGGTACCAGTACAAAGGTTCGTCCGGCTGTGCTTGTCGCTCCCACCCATACCGACGCATCAGCCCCCGAAGCAGTGTGGTATCGGCCCGATCGAACTTGCGAGTGCGAAACTTGTGCTGGATAATGCTCAGGACAGCCTGCCAGGACCCGATGAAACAAACATGAGCGAGAAACGCACAGCAACGCGTGCGCACATGAAGCTACAGTCCAACTTAATCCTCATTATGTCCATGACCCCATGCACGATCACGTCCCAGACTCTCTATGTTTCGGGACGGCTTCGCGCGGGTTGCCTCCAACACCTCTTGGCGATCTTCGTACCCGTCCGTTGCACACGCTCGCGGCTCCGCCTCGAGGTTGGCCAGATACCAGAGCCGGCGAGCAACGTCCACGGGGTCCACTCGCTCGAGGCAATCTGCAAGACGCCACCAACCTGTTTCCCGAACTCACACGCACAACGCACGACAGCAACACGGCATCCAAGACATTACACGAAGATCGTGATTTGCGATAATGCTCGCCTGTCCGCTGATCCACGTGATCTTCCAACACGGCTGCAAGAAGACAATGCTGCATGGAAGAAGTCAGACACGGCACAGTCGCGTCTCTCAAGCCGGCAACAGCAACCTCCCACGTAGAACTCACTTCTCGAGACAGCGCCGTGTCGACCTGTGACCAATGCTGCAGACTGTCCAGAATCTTTTGCGCAAGTAGATCTCTCTCCGAATCGGAAGACAGATGTCTCGCGGAAAATGATTCTACCGTAATGTCCAACGAGTACGCAGCCGCGGATTGGCGCACGTTGGCATCCTCGAAGATGTCGCAAGCAGCTGCAACCACCGCTTCAGCATCCTGTGCTCCGGCTCTGCGAACCGCGTAGAGGGATCTCCACATTAGGTACTTGATGTCACCGTCTGCACTCGGAACGCGCAGGGGGCACAACGCCATGACAATCCGCTGAATCAAGACCTGCTTGCTCACGTCCTCAAACGCCACACCCAGATCTTCGGCCACTCGCTGCATACAGGGTCCATCGGCCCGCAAGGGCAAGACACGAAGCCGCGCCCGAATTCGAGGTGGTGCCTTTTCCCCGAGCTCTCCTGCCAAGCGCCGCAAGCCATCTGCCGTGAAGAGGTCCTCGATATTCACCTGTAAGCACTGAAACAAACAGACACACACACACACACATGCACGCACACGCCCCCCTTCCCCCCGTCATACCTCCTCCTGGATGATGCCCAGCGACAAAGCTTCCAACAGATCCGCTTTGGAAAGCGTGTGCCCGGCGCGGTGTCGTCGCACACTCGCAACGACACAGAGCCCAACCAGCTCATCCTTGCCGTGCTTGTCCAGCTCGGTGCGGAGCCAGGCTTCGCCCTGCTCGGCATAACCCGTGCGCAGCTCGAGCAGCCTTTGCTGCGACGCCGCTTCATCGGCCTGACACCAAGAACTGCTTCACTGCAGAGCACTAAACATCCCACCCGACGACGACGCTGACAGCTCACTGCAACCGAAGCTGACATGGACAATCCTAAAAAACGCCGCTTCCCCATGAAGCCTGCTCCCCGGCAATGCTCTGTGATAGAGCTTTCGACAACTCCGGCTTGGTAAGCGTGCACCCGGCACGGTGTCGTTGCAAACCCGCAGCGACACAGAGCCCAACCAGCTCATCCTTGCTCGTGCTTCCCCAACTCGCCGCGGAGCCAGGCTTCGCCCTGCTCGGCATAACCCGTGCGCAGCTCGAGCAGCCTTTGCTGCGACGCCGCTTCATCGGCCTGACACCAAGAACTGCTTCACTGCAGAGCACTAAACATCCCACCCGACGACGACGCTGACAGCTCACTGCAACCGAAGCTGACATGGACAATCCTAAAAAACGCCGCTTCCCCATGAAGCCTGCTCCCCGGCAATGCTCTGTGATAGAGCTTTCGACAACTCCGGCTTGGTAAGCGTGCACCCGGCACGGTGTCGTTGCAAACCCGCAGCGACACAGAGCCCAACCAGCTCCGCCCGCCGTGCTTCCCCAACTCGCCGCGGAGCCAGGCTTCGCCCTGCTCGGCATAACCCGTGCGCAGCTCGAGCAGCCTTTGCTGCGACGCCGCTTCATCGGCCTGACACCAAGAACTGCTTCATTGCAGAGCACTAAACATCCCACCCGACGACGACGCTGACAGCTCACTGCAACCGAAGCTGACATGGACAATCCTAAAAAACGCCGCTTCCCCATGAAGCCTGCTCCCCGGCAATGCTCTGTGATAGAGCTTTCGACAACTCCGGCTTGGTAAGCGTGCACCCGGCACGGTGTCGTTGCAAACCCGCAGCGACACAGAGCCCAACCAGCTCATCCTTGCCGTGCTTCCCCAACTCGCCGCGGAGCCAGGCTTCGCCCTGCTCGGCATAACCCGTGCGCAGCTCGAGCAGCCTTTGCTGCGACGCCGCTTCATCGGCCTGACACCAAGAACTGCTTCACTGCAGAGCACTAAACATCCCACCCGACGACGACGCTGACAGCTCACTGCAACCGAAGCTGACATGGACAATCCTCAAGAACGCCGCTTCCCCATGAAGCCTGCTCCCCGGCAATGCTCTGTGATAGAGCTTCCAACAGCTCCGCTCTGGAGAGCTTGCGCCCGGCGGACTTCTGTCGCACCTCCGAAGCGACGCAGAGCTTAGCCAGCTCATCCCGACTCTGCTTCTCCAGCTCGGTGCGGAGCCAGGCTTCGCCCTGCTCGGCATAACCCGTGCGCAGCTCGAGCAGCCTTTGCTGCGACGCCGCTTCATCGGCCTGACACCAAGAACTGCTTCACTGCAGAGCACTAAACATCCCACCCGACGACGACGCTGACAGCTCACTGCAACCGAAGCTGACATGGACAATCCTCAAGAACGCCGCTTCCCCATGAAGCCTGCTCCCCGGCAATGCTCTGTGATAGAGCTTCCAACAGCTCCGCTCTGGAGAGCTTGCGCCCGGCTGACTTCTGTCGCACCTCCGAAGCGACGCAGAGCTTAGCCAGCTCATCCCGACTCTGCTTCTCCAGCTCGGTGCGGAGCCAGGCTTCGCCCTGCTCGGCATAACCCGTGCGCAGCTCGAGCAGCCTTTGCTGCGACGCCGCTTCATCGGCCTGACACCAAGAACTGCTTCATTGCAGAGCACTAAACATCCCACCCGACGACGACGCTGACAGCTCACTGCAACCGAAGCTGACATGGACAATCCTCAAGAACGCCGCTTCCCCATGAAGCCTGCTCCCCGGCAATGCTCTGTGATAGAGCTTCCAACAGCTCCGCTCTGGAGAGCTTGCGCCCGGCTGACTTCTGTCGCACCTCCGAAGCGACGCAGAGCTTAGCCAGCTCATCCCGACTCTGCTTCTCCAGCTCGGTGCGGAGCCAGGCTTCGCCCTGCTCGGCATAACCCGTGCGCAGTTCCTGCAGCTTTCGCTGCGAGGCCGCTTCATCGGCCTGACACCAAGAACTGCTTCACTGCAGAGCACTAAGCATCCCACCCGACGACGACGCTGACGGTTCACTGCAACCGAAGCTGACATGGACAATCCTCAAGAACGCCGCTTCCCCATGAAGCCTGCTCCCCGGCAATGCTCTTTGATAGAGCTTCCAACAGCTCCGCTCTGGTAAGCTTGTGCCCGGCAGACTTCTGTTGCACACCCGCAGCGACACAGAGCTTAGCCAGCTCATCCCGACTCTGCTTCCCCAGCTCGGTGCGGAGCCAGTCTTCGCCCTGCTGGGCATAATCGGCGCGGAACTTCTGCAACCGCGAATCCATGGGATGGAAGAAGGCGTCCACGCCGGCCCTTTCGCAAGACAGCGTCGAGGCAAGCAAAACACTGTCCCAAGTATGTTCAAATGCAAAAGTGTCTGCACCGACCCTTTCGCAAGACAGCGTCGAGGCGGGCAAACAACTGTCCTAAGTATGGTCAGCTGAGAAGATGAGAATAAGCTGAGAATAATCTCCACACCGGCCCTTTCGCAAGACAGCGTCAAGGCAGGCAAGGAAGCGTACTAGGTGTAGTAAGATGCTGCAATGTGTGCAAAATACTGCAACGCGTTTTCCCTTTCTTCCCCTTCTTCTGCCTTTCGAGCCAAACGAGGCAGGCAAACGTGCAAGGAGAAAGCCTTTACAGAGCAGCAAGAAACTCCGAGCCTGCAGAAGTCATCGGCCAGGCAGCCTGCGAGTCGAACGTGTGCAAGGAGAAAGCCTCTACAAAGCAGGAGGAAGCTCCGAGCCTGCAGGTCATCGACCAGGCAGCCTGCGAGTCAAACGTGTGCAAGGAGAAAGCCTCTACAAAGCAGGAAGAAGCTCCGAGCCTGCAGGTCATCGACCAGGCAGCCTGCGAGTCAAACGTGTGCAAGGAGAAAGCCTCTACAAAGCAGGAAGAAGCTCCGAGCCTGCAGGTCATCGGCCAGGCAGCGGCGCGTTGCGCCGTCGCAAGACAGCGTACGCGCCGTACAGGCGCATGAATATATGTCTATCTATCTATCTATCTATATATCTATTATCTATCTATCTATCTATCTATATCTATGGATAGATACAAAGATAGATATATATATATATATATATATATATATATATATGTGCGTATATTATCGATATATGCATCTGCCAATCCCTCTGAAGGGTTGCCAATTGCACCTCGCAGAGATGCAAGTTCCTGGAATCGACCACATATATATATATATATATATATATATATATGTGCGTATATTATCGATATATGCATCTGCCAATCCCTCTGAAGGGTTGCCAATTGCACCTCGCAGAGATGCAAGTTCCTGCAATCGACCACATATATATATATATATATATATATGTGCGTATAATATCGATATATGCATCTGCCAATCCCTCTGAAGGGTTGCCAATTGCACCTCGCAGAGATGCAAGTTCCTGCAATCGACCACATATATATATATATATATGTGCGTATATTATCGATATATGCATCTGCCAATCCCTCTGAAGGGTTGCCAATTGCACCTCGCAGAGATGCAAGTTCCTGCAATCGACCACGCCACTCCCTGTGGAGAGTTGCACGGCGGAAAGGATACAAGTAGTAGTTTGCACACACGTTTCAACCCTGGACCACGCCAATCCATGCAGAGGGTTACACGCAGCGCCCAAAGACCATGCAACAGTACCTGCACACCTTCCGATTAGAACATTCGAGGAAGCTAATCCCTCTCAATGAAGGATTGCGCGGGGCACCGCAAAATGTGTAACTTTACCTTGCGTTCGACCACTCGACCACGCCAATCCCTGTGAGGGGTTGCAAAATTCATTTCAATGCTCATCAAAAATTGCAACTTTACCTCGCGTTTGAACACTCCACTACGCCAATCCCTGTGAAGGGTTGCAAAATTCATCTCAATGCTCATCAAAAATTGCAACTTTACCTCGCGTTCAACCACTCGACCACGCCAATCCCTGTGAGGGGTTGCAAAATTCATCTCAATGCTCATCAAAAATTGCAACTTTACCTCGCGTTCGAACACTGCACCACGCCAATCCTTGTGAAGGGTTGCAAAATTCATCTCAATACTCATCAAAAATTGCAACTTTACCTCGCGTTCGAACACTCCACCACGCCAATCCTTGTGAAGGGTTGCAAAATTCATTTCAATGCAAATCAAAAAATGCAACTTTACCTCGCGTTCGAACACCCGACCACGCCAATCCCTGTGAAGGGTTGCAAAATGCAAATCCCTGTGAAGGGTTGCAAAAAAAATTGAACTGCACCCAAACCCTGTGAAGGGTTGCGCGGCGCCCGCAAGAAGTGTAACTTTACCTCGCGTTTGAACGCCCGAGGAGGCGAATCCCTGTGAAGGGTTGCGCGGGAACCGCAAAATGTGTAACTTTACCTCGCGTTTGAACGCCCGAGGAGGCGAATCCCTGTGAAGGGTTGCGCGGGAACCCTAAAATGTGTAACTTTACCTAGCGTTTGGGCGCTCGAGAGTTCCAATCCCTGTGAAGGGTTGCGCGGGAACCGCAAAATGTGTAACTTTACCTCGCGTTTGAACGCCCGAGGCAGCGAATCCCTGGGAAGGGTTGCGCGGTGCGCCTAAAATGTGTCACTTTACCTAGCGTTTGAACGCCCGAGGCAGCGAATCCCTGGGAAGGGTTGCGCGGTGCGCCTAAAATGTGTCACTTTACCTAGCGTTTGAACGCCCGAGGCAGCGAATCCCTGGGAAGGGTTGCGCGGTGCGCCTAAAATGTGTCACTTTACCTAGCGTTTGAACGCCCGAGGCAGCGAATCCCTGGGAAGGGTTGCGCGGTGCGCCTAAAATGTGTCACTTTACCTAGCGTTTGAACGCCCGAGGCAGCGAATCCCTGGGAAGGGTTGCATTCCCGATGGACCCCGACGGTGCCACCCCCGCCTTTAAAAGAAATATTAAGATACCGAGATGTAGAGAGTAAGTCATAAGTCATAGTAAGTCATAGATGCATAGAGAGTCAGTCATAAGTAAGTAAGTATAGTAAGTATAAGTAAGCAAGTCAAGTAAGTAAGTAAGTAAGTATAGAGATAGCATAACATAGAGTCCAGTGTCAAGTGTCAAGTGTCAAGTAAGTTAGTAAGTAGATTGAAGTAAGTAAGTAAGTAAGTAAGTCGTAAGCATAACATAGAGTCAAGTATCAAGTGTAGAGTCAAGTATCATAGAGTCAAGTGTCAAGTGTAGAGAGTCAGTCATAAGGGTCAAGTAAGTAAGTAAGTCAAGTGTAGAGTCAAGTATCAAGTGTAGAGTGTAGAGTAAAGTATGGAATCAAGTGAGTTGATTCTATGTCTGTCATCTATGTACTCAGCTGCGGCGTTCCACACGGAAGAACCCTTCGCGATGCTTTCGGGAACAAGAATAAAAAATCCTGAGGAGACTATAGTATATAGCTTCTATATGAACTATATAGACTCCGATAAGCGTCCCTAGAACCGCCTCGGTCCATAGTAGGGGCTCATACTTCCAACCTTGGCTAGGATACCCAGTAACCTAGGAATAAAAAGGCCTCTCTTTTTGGTATTGGGTAACTTTATAAGGAACCTAGGACTACAAAAAGGGAATAAGGGTACTACTGGGCATCCTAGTTGCAGTTTAGGGGAGGCGGAGATCCTTGGGACTCCAAATAGCCCAAAGCAGGGTGCGAGTTGGAGACTTTTAGGGTTTACGGCTTGTGGCTTAGGGTCTTAGGGGCTAGGAGTTTAGGGGTTAGGGGTTAAGGGTTTAGAGGTTTAAGGGTTTAGGGTTTAGGGGTCCCGCAGTTGTTGGATTCGTGACCAGGTGTCGATTTCAACAGTCCCGAACAATATTTGTAATACTAGGGCTCCACATATGACACACTATAAGCGAAACTAAAAGTTATCCCAAATCGATATCCCGTTCAAGCCCTGGGGTATGGGGATGGGAATTGTAAGTATCTGATAGTCGAGCTATCAATACTTTAATATATCCCCTGCCCAAAAACCTAACTCTCAACCCCTAAACCCAACCCCCCCAAACCACTAAACCCCTAAACCCCTAAACCCTAAACCCCTAAACCGCTAAACCCTAACCCCCAAAACCTAACCCTCAACCCCTAAACCCCTAAACCCTAAACCCCTAAACTCTCAACCCCTAAACCCCTAAACCCCCAAACCCCTAAAACCTAACTCTCAACCCCTAAACCCAAACCTGACCCTACTTAGGGCTCAGAGCCGACCGGGACCAGTTACCAAGCGCCAAGAGGCCGATGATGGTGCCATGAGCCTGACAGAGAGCAACAACTCAACCCAAACCCCCGAGTCCTAAACCGGTCTGGGGTCTAGTGTCTATAGTGTTTAATGTTATTTAACTAGGGTTTAGGGTTTAGGGGTTTAGGGGTTTAGGGTTTAGGGTTTAGTGTTACCCTAAGCTTCCAGGGACCTTATTATTGGGCCCTTAAGGAAGCATAGGGTTATGTGACTGTGATTTAGGGACCTCATACTCCAACGGACCTCCCCCCAAGTGCCCTTTAATGGGCCCTTATGGACCAAAGCGTTTATGCCATATTCGAGGGTAGTTGAGGCGTCTGGGTGAACCCGAAACCTCAAACTCCAAATTGAATCCGACAACTGAACCAGTTTCGATGCTGGGCAGAGTGCCCCAACCCCGGTGCCATTGGAATTGTTGGTTCATGGGTGGTTGTCAAAATTAGGGTCCCCTTTTGGGTCCTTGTTGTAATACGGCACCTATTATTTAGGCTACCCAAAAAGGGACCTGAATTTTGACAACCACCCACATCAGAGTTGTCCTTTAACTTCTCGCTTGTCCTCAGGAATAGCCGGTTCTGACATCCTTGGTGGCACTCAGAGCCATCCTCGGTACCGGTTCTTCCCGTCCTGGGGTCCTCGGTCGCGAGTTCATCGGTTATGGCGTCCTCGGTGGCGATTCCACCGCTTCCCCTGCCGTGCTCGGCACCGGTTCCACCGCTTCTGCCGAAGCGAGACGTAAACATGTTACAGCGCACTGGGGAAGTGATTGGGAAGCATCAGGTTCCAAATAAAGCAACAACTACCAACTACTAAAGACAAACAAATGCACAGCTTCAGGAACTCGGCTAAGCAGATGCGCCCAATGTGCAAGAAAAGGAATTGGCACCGTGCTGTTTTCAGCAAACCGAACCAAAAGCAGGCATCAGCCCTGAACCACCCTACCTTACAAGTACTTAAGGGTCATGGGACTTAGTAGCTAGGATTAGGAACTAGGGCTTGGGGTTTAGGAATTAGGCACCTCTCAAAGTCTTATAGACCCTATTAAGATGCCCTAAACCCCACATCCCAACTTACCAAACTCCAGGATCCTCCACGCAGGTCCCTTTTCCTGACTATGTAGTAGGATCCTTATTATAAGGACCCCAAATAAGGTACCCCTAATTTTCGGAAACTCCCAATTCAAGAGGGATTATCATCATCCCTGGCTCCTTAGCTCCTCCAATATCAAAGGTTAATGAAGTGAGCCTCGAGAACCCAACAGAACCCAGAAAGCCAAGACATCTCCAGTGCCTCTGACCCTAAATACGGCTGATGGACAAAATCCTGCATGACCCATAATAAGAAATATATGGAAAAAGTTGTATATTCGTTATTATGGGTCATGCAGGATTTCTATCATCAACCGTACTAAACCTTGAGTACTAAACCTAAACCCTCAAACCCCCTTCCCGTTGTTGCTGTCTTGTTGAATGCTAGGAGTTATACAGCGTTATACATGATAAAGGTTACGGCGGTCGGCTTTGAGTTTTGATGTTGGTGCTTCCGGTCTCAGAGCTTTGGGCTTCGGGTTTCCTTACCTCCCTGGCTGGTGGGTTCCGAGATTCGGGGCTCAGAACCGTGGTGTTCTAAACATCCTCTTCAATTTGAGGAGGGGGCACTGGCAATACACCTGAGTGGTTGTCAAACTTATTTTCGTTTGGGTACCCTAAATGATAGGTTCCGTACTAGAATAGGGACCCAAAACAGGACCATAGAATTTTGACAACCATTCACCTCCATGATTGGATGCCCCAACCCGGAAGGGACACTAAGGCAAGCAGCCAGCGTCCCAAGTGCTTAACCCGAAGCCCTAAACTCCAAAGCCTAAACCGCAAAACCCTAAGCCCTCAACCCTAAATCCTATAAACCCTAAACCAAAAAGACGACCCAGAGGGTCCACATGTACGAAGGCTGTGGGCTGCGGGTTTAGGGTTAAGGTTTTCAGGGTTTGCATATAGATGGAGTCTCTTGGGTAATATCCTTTGTCTAAAGTCTTGCAGTGAGGCACCGCCGAATTTAGGAAGCCTTCACATGGTTCTACAACCAAGTCCAACAAATCCAGATTAAATTCGAGTACTGAGAGCCACGAAAAACCAGGAAAAGGGCCGACCGTCCAAAACAAGGAAATGGACATTACTCACATTACTCACAAAAAACAGAGCTTGACATCAGTAGGAAGCTTAGTGCTTTCCTAACTATATTTTGGGGTCTGAACCTACGCTCCTTGAGGGTTTGGTGCTACTTGGAAAACTGAATCCAATTCGTCTAGTCCCTTCCCTGATCCGCCTCTTCGCGCCCGGTGACCACCTCCCGTGAAAGTGTGTGTGTGTGTGTGTGTGTGTGTGTGTGTGTGTGAAACCTATGAGCCTTAAGGGTTTCAGGTTTCAGGCTTGGGGTAAGAGTCCTGATGCAACTCAGGGTTGGGATCCTGGGGACACGGTTTTGCTTCTTGGGAAAGTCTTGTTGTGTGTGTGTGTGTGCGTTTGTGGAGGGCTTTGTTAGATTCAACATGATTTTGTGTCCACGGCTTGGTTCCCTAAACCCTAAACCACAAACCCTCAACCGAGGGGGTTTTGGTCTATGCTTAAACATTCAGAGATCACCTTGCTGAACTCATCGGAAGTCGTTGCTTGTGCTTCCTATGTCCCCAAACCCAACAACATAGTATATAAGAGTTCTATAAGGGTTCCTATAAGGGTTTAGGGTTTAGGGTTTAAAGGTCCATGTACCCAAATATAATAGCATATACTTTGGCCTTAAAGGTAGGGTACTTTGGGGGCCTTCCTTAATACTTAGTTAATACGGTTTGGGGGGCCCATTATACAATAAGGAACCCCGCAAAAAGATTGGTAATTATTTAAGCCCCTAGATGAGGTTGTGACCCCTTAGTTAGAGGGTCTAACCCCTTAATTGACTAACCAGTGGTTTTGGGGTTCCCTGGGCTCTTTAGCTCCTTGTTCAATAGGGATTATCATCCTCCCTGGCTCCTTAGCTCCTCCAATATCAGAGGTTAGATCTATATAAAATGTTTCTAGAGGGTCTCTAGGGTTCCTTACTTACAAGGATCTATAAGGATCTATAAGGGTTTTTTTGTAGGATTTCTATAAGGGCACTTAGTCTTTAAGTTGAGGTCACCGTTTTGTCTAGACACTAGAGTAACCTAGGAATAAAAAGGGTGCCCTTTTTGGTTTAAAGGGGATTATAAGGTAACCTAAACCCTAAAAAAGGGAATAAGGGCCTACTCTGGGTTGTTGAGGTTTTGGATCCCCAGCTTGGGCTTCCCCTCCCGATGAGCAGCCTTCGCATGCACACGGGCCCCGATGCCAACAAGAGCCTTGCTCAAACCGCCGCCAAAAATGCCTTCGCTGATTTCTGCGCAAGGAGGCTTAGAGCCAGAAGCTCTGAGGCTTCAAACACGACACTGTGGATTTGGCTAGAGAAAAATGTTCAGGCAAGGACTTGAGCTTGCTGGTCCCTGCTGTTTAGAAAGGCCTTTGGCTGGTTGAGGGTTTATGTTTGCAGTGGGTACCGACCACCATCGTGCAGAGAGGACGAGATCAAAATACCAAGCCATCAAAGCCCTACATAAGCACGGTCAGGGGTCTATGATGGTTGACGACGCCCCAACACTTTCCAAGCGGCTGAGAGTAGTTCGATGGTCATAGGTGCGGCACTCTGGGGCGAAGTGGATGTCGATGCCACCTCGCGTTCAGAATATAGGGATTTGAAAGCCTGGAATAGGGGTTTGGGGGTACAGTATAGTCCACGCCAGGGACCTAAACCCTAAACCCTAAACCCTATTACCAACTATTCAGGCCTCTATGCTCTAGATTCTTCTTGGGAACCTAGACCCCTTATCTTCCCTGGGAAGCGCTCGTAGCTTTGGAGGTTCAGTTGTCCAAAAAACGCTACAGGCCTGATTCTTGGGGGTTTAGGCTTTTCGGCTGGACAGGCTTCATGGGACTTGGTAAGCATGATTATGAGGATCTTAGCTGGTATAGCTACCTTCTGACAGACCCCAAACCCTGAACCTTAAGCCCTAACCCCCCTAAGCCCTAAACCCTACCAGAAGGGTCCATGTACTCAAACAGTATATACTTTGGCCTTAAAGTAGTCCCTATATAGGTACATTGGTGCTGATGTATATACTACTTGCGTACATGGACCCTTAGGGCTATATCACCATGATCCGATGTAGGGCTTCATGATCCCAGGGCTTTTGGTCTAGAGGGCGTTTCAGCTGGAATCCAGCATTCAAGCTGCGGGGGTAATACTTAGAGGGTTCAGGGTTCAGGTGTGGGGTTTAGGGTTTTGGGCTTATAAGAGTTTAGGATTGCGGAACCCAGGATGTCCAGCATGATTTAATGGTCTTGGGAGCTCTTTCTCGTTTCGGAAAGGAGAGCTTGATCGGCACTTATGGGGGAAGCAGGAGCTCCTGACCTAAACCCCAATGGCAAGGCTCACCACCAACGAAGCATGAGTAGTAATCCTGGTGAATGAACGTAGATAGCTCATAACACTGCTTGGCGAAGTTGAAGCTAAGCATGGGTCTAGTCGTAAGCACAGATAAATGAGACTGAAGATAGTATCAAAGATGAGCATCGTAGAAGCAGTGCTCAGAAGGACCAAGGGATGGCAGCAAGCAAACCCTGATAATCACCCTAAACCCTGCGCATTCAGCCCACCTTTTTCCACGGGCCCCGAACCCCAAAACCCCAAACCCTGACCCCTAAACCCACCTTCGGTGTCGAGAGCCACGCGCCGGGTGAAAGAATGGTCTGCCGTCTCGTAGGGGTGCGCCGTCTCGACCACCTGCAAGGATTGAAAGTGTGTTATAGCAATTGAATAGGTTTCCTTTAAAAGGGGTCTACAAGGGTCACGATTAGGGCGATTTTAAGGATGTAGTGCAGGGGCCTTAATGATTAAAATAGGAGGCCCAATATAGCTTAGTATATTGGAATTCCCAAAACCCTAAGACTCCAAGTATACAAATAGTACCTACTTTGGGGTCTAAAGTCTATAAATACTACCTACTTTGGGCCATTTGGAGTCTTGGGGAAATAGTATATATTGGAATTTATGAAGGCCCCTATGTCAGGGCTGCTGATGGAAGGCCCTTTGGGTTCAGATCACTCAGAACTTTGATCGGTATAGGGAGTGTAGGGTCCCTTAAAGGGATCGATGAGGGTTTCTATAGGGGTTTCTATATGGGGTTTAGGGTTTAGGGCTTAGGGTTTATGGTAAAAGCCAGCAAGTTGGAATATGATTATCCTAAACCCTCTATGGTAAATTATAGGGTATCCTACCAAGAAACCATATTCCAACTTTCTGGAGTTCCCTGTATGATATAGTACGGTGTAGAGAAAAGGGCTTCTGGAGAAAGCTCCACTCTACGACTCAGAAATCGAAGCCGCACGCGCGAAGTCTTTCGGCCACATTGACAAACCCTGAGGGGCCATGTACCCAAATAGTATATACTTTGGCCCCACAATACCTTTAGAGGGATTGCTTTAAGGCCAAAGTATATACTATTTGGGCACATGGACCCTTAGGGAAATGGCCCCTCTTTGAACTTCGACACCACTCGCCCTCCCCAGAAGGTGACAAAGCATGAACGCTTGGGGATGTATTTCAGTCGGGGGCCGCATGCTTTATTCAAACCTCTGTGCTACGTCAAGGGTTCGAAGCAAGAACTCGGTCCTGAAGCCTGAAAAGCCCCTATGACAATCATTCGCCAGAGCCTTTTGAATAATGTAGTGACGGAGATGTATAGCTTTTCAGGCTTAGGCCTTTGGATCTTCAGTTTGTGGAGTAGCAGCACTTAGTAATCATCACAAGCACGAGAGCAAAAGCAGAGGCCTGCAACATGGGCAATAATACTTGGGGGTTTCCGAAAATGGGGGACCCTAATATATAGTACCCTAAATAGTAGGATCCTTACTATAAGGACCCCAAAATAAGGTACCCCTAATTTCCGGAAACTCCCACTTGAATACAGACGAAATACCTAAGCAACAGCAGGAATTGGCACTCGCAACTACTCTATATTGGCCGTTGTTCCAGGCAGACACGAAGTACAACGTTTGCAGGAATGTGAAACAACTACTAACAAACTTGACTTCCCAGTATATCTGTATTAGTATTGCCGGAATGGGCAGGCGTTTTTCCTTGCCAACCCTGAACCCTTCACCCCAAACGCCAACAACCCCAAAACTTAGCACCAAAACCAACCAATGTACCCCCGCACCAACACTCAAACCCCCAAACCCAGAACCATAGTTTCCCTGCTGCAAGCACCCGACCCCACTTCCCAACCCCATACGTCAGGAGCTGCCCCCACCCTGTAATAGTGACCATAAGGATCATATTAGGTATTATTAGGGCCCTATTATATTCCTATTATACTACTACGGTTGATGATATAAATCCTGCATTACCCATAATAAGGAATATACCATAATTCCCATAGTTTTGGGCCCTTAAGGTCATGCAGGATTTATATCATCAACAGTATTACAGGGTGGGGGCCCCTTCTAACCCATACGTCTGCAAGCCCGCAATCTGAAGACCCCTATAACGTCACAAGAGAAAGCCCTAAACCTCCCCCTGCCCTAAACCCTAGAAATGCGAATCCTAAACCTGGTTCCTAAATCCTAAGCCTGGCATTAATGCCAAGCCCCTGAACCCTAAACCCTGAACCCTACACCCTGCAAAACCTCCATGATATCCTTCATTTTGCTTGAAAAGACCGTATTCTAGTCTTTTAAGGCCCCTGTACTAAGACTTATGAAATCCTAACTCTTAAGTCCTAAACTCTAAATGCTAAACAAACGCTCCATGGAACCCTTTCCCTAAACCCTAAACCCTGAACCCCAGTCTAATTCTGAGGGTCCCCATATGGGAGTTTCCGAAAACAGGGGACCCTAATCTGGCACCCTAAATAGTAGGATCCCTTTTAAAAGGAGCCCAAAATTAGGGCACCCCTAATCTTCGGAAACTCCCAGATGGAACCCTAAACCCTAAACCCTAACCCCTAACCCTAAACCCTAATCCCTAAACCTCTAAACCCTAACCCCTAAACCCCTAAACCCTAACCCCTAAACCCTTCGAAAACTCCGCACTCAGAAACCGCCGGAGCCTTGCACTTGCCCAGGCCCAGGCTGGCGAGAAGCTTCTGCTGGCCTCACGTCAATCAAAGGGCAAAAAGGAGGGACCCTTAGGCTCTTAGGGTTCCTCTAAAGGGATCTATAAGGGTCCCTTTAAAGGGATCTATAGGGTTTAGGGTTTAGTTGAATCAAAGGGGAAAAGGAGGGACCCTTAATATGGACCCCTAGCCTATAATGGGGCTATATAATGGGTATATAGTAGCTATTTTAAGGGTATATAGCTAGGGGTCCTCACTAATGATCCCTCCTTTTACCCTTGGAGTCAAAGACTCCTTTTGCTTCATGGGGTTTGGGGTTGAAGGCTGCTTTCAGAAGTGTTTACGTATGGGGTTTAGGGTCTAGGTTTTCGGGAGATGTTCTGGGATGGGCTTAGGGTTTAGGCTTGAAACCCTGAACCCTAAACCCCCAACTCTAAGCCCCAAAACCTAAACCTCAACCCCTTAACCCTAAACCCTGAACCCTAAACCCCAAACGCTAAACCTCAACCCTGAACCCTAAACCCTACTTGGAGGTTCATGGGTAATTATAAGTGGGGACATAAGTCCCCTAAAATGGGTTATAAGTATAGTTACCTACTTCTCACCCCACCTATAACTACCCATGAACCTGCAAGAAATCCCCAAACCCTACACCCTGAACCCCAAACCGTAATCCCTAAACCCTAACCCTAAACCCTAACCCAGAGGGTCCAAGGACCCAAATAGTAGGGTTTTAGATCCCAAAATCCATACTCTGAATGGTTTTTGGACCTTAAAACCCTACTATTTGGGTACTTGGACCCTTAGGGTAAGACAAGGGGCTTTTATCGACGGCTGCCGACCAGCACTCCTCTGCTCCCGCCACTGCGGAAACCTTCTCCCACTCGGTCTCCAACGATGCTTTGCCTCGGGTTTTAGGGTTCCCTTAGCGCTCCTTCAGGGGATCTATAGGGCTCCTTTCAGGGATCTATAGGGCTTCTTTTGAGGGAGCTCGGGTTTTAGGGTCTAGGGGCTTTGTATAGCGATGCTTTCCCTTGGGTTCAGGGCTTTTCGATCTTTTGATACTTGAATACTAAGCCCATATATATATATATATATATATATATATATATACATGTATGTGTGTAGAGACCGAGTGACTGCCGTATTGATTTCTTAGGTCTTCCTTCTAATATAATAACCATACTGTGCAACAAGCCCCACATCCTATTCACTATTCTACTTAGTTTGGTCCTTTGTTCAATTTCTGCTTACTTGGACCTAGTAAGTGCAGCTTGCCGCACATGAGTGATACTGTTGCTCCCAGAATCCATGCTTCAGGCTTTGGGTGTTAGGTCTTACCACTTATAGAGAAGGCCGGGCCTAATTTGTGATTTAGGCTTGGCGGTGTCGAGATTAATGCTACAACCTGATTAACACAAGGGGGCCTCCCCTCCACCGCGCTATCAAGGTCATCAAGGTTCATAGCCGGCCCCAAAAAACCCGGTGACGGATTAAGTGGCGAAATCTTGCTTCGGGGACTTGCGGGTACAACTTTAGTAGTAGTACATTAGTCATTAGTAGTATAGTAGCTCGTACAGCAGTAGTACATTAGTAAACAGTAGTGTCCGGTAGCAGTAGCTGTAGCAGGAGCAGGAGCAGCAGCAGCAGCATCAGCAGCAGCAGCAGCAGCAGGAGCAGGAGCAGGAGCAGGAGCAGGAGCAGGAGCAGTAGCAGTAGCAGTAGCAGTAGTGGCAGCAGCAGCAGTAGCAGTAGCAGTAGCAGTAGCAGGAGCAGGAGCAGGAGCAGCAGCAGCAGGAGGAGGAGCAGGAGCAGGAGCAGGAGCAGGAGCAGGAGCAGGAGCAGGAGCAGTAGCAGTAGCAGTAGCAGGAGTGGCAGCAGCAGCAGTAGCAGTAGCAGTAGCAGTAGCAGGAGCAGGAGCAGGAGCAGCAGCAGCAGGAGGAGGAGCAGGAGCAGGAGCAGGAGCAGGAGCAGGAGCAGGAGCAGGAGCAGGAGCAGGAGCAGGAGCAGGAGCAGGAGCAGGAGCAGCAGGAGGAGCAGGAGAAGGAGTAGGAGTACCAGTAGTGGTAGGAGTAGTAGTAGTAGTAGTAGTAGTGGAAGTGGAAGTGGAAGTGGAAGTGGAAGTGGAAGTGGAAGTGGAAGTGGTAGTGGTAGTGGTAGTGGTAGTGGTAGTGGTGGTAGTGGTGGTAGTGGTGGTAGTGGTGGTAGTGGTGGTAGTAGTGGTAGTAGTGGTAGTGGTAGTAGTAGTAGTAGTAGTAGTAGTAGTAGTAGTAGTAGTAGTAGTAGTAGTAGTAGTAGTAGTAGTAGTAGTAGTAGTAGTAGTAGTAGTAGTAGGTATAGTAGTAGTAGTAGTAGTAGTAGTAGTAGTAGTAGTAGTAGTAGTAGTAGTAGTAGTAGTAGTAGTAGTAGTAGTAGTAGTAGTAGTAGTAGTAGTAGTAGTAGTAGTAGTAGTAGTAGTAGTAGTAGTAGTAGTAGTAGTAGGCATAACCTGTGAATCCTGGGGATTGGTAAATGGATTGGGCGGGGGTCGCTGCAAGTGACCTCTAGGAAGAGATCCTGCTGACAAGTGCTGGAACATCCTCAAGGCTCACAGCTACTTGAATCTCATGTGGGCGTCAGACAAGCTAGTAACAGTATCCCGGAGACAGTATCCCTGATCCTATACATCTTCATCAGAAGATACATCGAAGCCCTAATTTAATTGCAAAGGACCTTTAGCGGAACCCTCATTATCATTGTTAAGTCCTGCAAACTGCCCTCCCTGCTGCGCTTTTGTGTTTGGCAGAGTCAGCTTCCAGGCCCTGTCCAGAGCCTGGTAGCCATGCTTGAAGGTTCGTGGGACGTAGGAACTAGGGTTATAAATAAAGCAGTTATACTTATGATCAGTTATAACCCCAGTGAGGTACGTCTTTCTCATAACCCTTAATACAGTGGGTCGGGTGCCCTATATACTTGGAAGGCCGGGTGACTTATAAAGTAGTTTCTCTGTAAGGTCAAGGTTGGATAGCCACAAGCAGAGTCCCATCTTAGGGTACGTATACCTCTACTTTTCATCCAGTTACTAGAACCGAAATCCTAATTCCCTTATAGTAACCCGGAAAGTAACCCAGAGGAGCTTCTTCGACACTGGAAACCCCATTCGCAAGCAGGGCTGCCGTTGGAGCGAAAGACGACGGTCTCACCGGTTGGGAGATCACCTCAGACTGCATCATCGACCGTCAAGGGTTCACGAGCTTTAGGGCTTAGGGCTTTCGGATCTATGTCGGATTTATGGTTTTAGGGTTTGGGGTACAGGACATAGTGTAGAGAGGCCCACTTACCTACGGCCAGAGTGCATACGATCCTATGAGCCAGTTTTCTTGAGGACGAGGAGGGGGGTGAGGGTTAATTATTGGCTGTCTTGTAGGGCTCAAGCCTGAATAATCTGAACAACTATTCATTCGGGTTCCTTAATGTAATCATACCCCACATCGGCCCAAAATCCTATTCCGATCATGAAGGCCCCCATGTTGAGTTCTTGGTCTTTGGGTGCCTGGTTTGGCACTCAGAGGGTCTAGTGGAGTTTAGCGCTGTGGTGCTGAATTTAAGGCTCTTGCTTGCGGTCTTAGGACGCGCACTCCAAAATGGAATCAGGATATCAGTCCTTTAAGGTGTGTAGGGTCCAGGGTTCTCAACGATTAGAATGGGGTGTTGGAGGACAGTATGCATAACGACCCAAAGAAATTCATAACGTTTGATCATTCATGACCCTTGTTACTAAGGCCCATGATCCTCTAAGAAGTGCTCTCTGGGCCCTTAGGTCGTTTTGGGCTTTCGCGAATCCATCAAAACCCTGAACCTCAAACGCCTTAAACCCTGAAGTAAGGCTGAATCCAAAATCTGACAAACCTTAAGCCCATACTGCTGATGGACAAAATCCTGCATGACCCTAAGGACTCTAAACTATGGGAGCTATGGTATCTTCCTTATAATGAGTAATGCAGGATTTTGTCCATCAGCAGTACCGTTGCAGCGAGCAGCTCTTGAGATTCCTGTTTGCTCCAGGCCCAATACAGTAGCGAGGGACCAGGGCCTATCTAAGACAGAGGCCTTCAGATTAGAACAGCGTTGAGGGTGGAAATCAGAATTGTGTTATTAGGGCTATAAGGTGGTACTACCTTGACCACGAATAACCTACATTAAAGGAACCCTATAAGGTAATCATATTAGGGCTATAAGGTGGGACCTTTTTACTATTTAAAACTACACAGACACCGAGATTCTGTCGATGCTTGACGGTTTAGGAGCTTTGGGACTAGTTCAGTTATCGAAATCCCCAAACTCTCGTTCCCAAAACCCTAAACCTTAAACCCTATTCCAAGAACCCATAGGATTGTAAGGACTTTTGGAAGGACCATCATAGTAAGGAGCCCTAAAAGGGTATGATATTCAGGGTTAAGGCAGACCTTAAGCCCCGGCCTGACTGCCAAACGCTTGCGACTTAATCGGGGTACTACAGGGTTTTTGTTAGGGTTTAGGGCGAAGTTTAGGGTTTAGGATTTTTGGGCTTAAGGTTTAAAGGTTCGCATCCACCGCGCACACGCACACACACTCACACACTCACACACTCACACACGCGCAAAACGCCAACACACACACACACAAACACACATCGGAACCCTAAACCAAAAGCCCTGCCCCTAAACCTAAACCCTAAACTTACTGAAGGCCACGCAGCCCTTTAAGCTGTCTGTGAGCTTCTTGATCTCATCGGCCTTCACCTGATTTGCACGCGTTTTATTACTGGCAGAAACAGGGGTGGGTGCTTTCAAGACTTCTATAAGCGGGTTATCGGGCTGTTTAAGGGATACTACGAACACTTCACCCCTAAACGCCCCAAACCCTAAACCCGCATAATTTCAGAAAAGGGCGTTTACAGGGCTTCCATAAGCGTGTTTGATGGCCCCAGGGTTGTAGTGGATAAGAGCATATTATTATATAGGTTCTTGGGTTTAGGGTTGAGGAGTCATCAATGTTAAGAAGGAATGCTATGAGGAGTTTCAAGCGTGTCAGGGCTTTAGGATTTTGTGTGGGTGGGCGGGCTTTGAAAGGTGGTCACAATGCAGTACCATGAACTGATACTGGGTAAGGAGATTCGCGGCTAGTGGCTATGGGGGTTCCCGTGGGTGGTGGTGCCGTCAAATAGGGGCCTACAAAACTACAAGTACTATTTTGGGGGTTCCCAGTCATAATTATAGTGAAATATCCCCCCCTCAAAAACCCTATTCTAATTATACGGGTCCCCCATATTAGGGTGTTCATTTAAGTATCTAAGATTTCTTGCGGCTCTTTCCACAGGCTTCATGAGGGCTTATACGGTGTAGGGCACTGTATAGGGCTGCAAGGGTTCGGGACTAAGGTTTCTCTTTTTTCTCGATGAAAAGAATCAGGGTTTCGTTTCTTCTCATTGTGTTGGAATTTGGAACATCATCAGCCTCATGCCGTTAAAGTATAGGGAATCCCAGCATGAAGCATCCCAAATCCATGCTCCAACTTTCCGGGGTTCACTATACAGTAAACCCCATAAAGTTGGAAACCGGAATAAGGCCAACTAGTGCTGGGATTCCCTATACATTACTCTCAAGGGTTGAGGCTACAGGGTTTCCAACTTTTGGGCTTTAAGTGTAGACTCCGGGAGTTTTGCAGATTTCGCGTTGAAGTCGCAGGTTGGGCTCCCAACATTTGCAAGATTCCAGCGCGAGGCCGGGTCAGGAAATCAGTGCTTTGGTTTTGGGCTTCGGGTTTAACCTCGCAAAGGGCCTAAGTTTTGCAGAGGGGTTTTGGGGGTATCATAACACCTCATAGCACCTAGAAAAACGTATCTAGGCCATAAAGTACCTACACAGGAATGCCTTTAAGCATATGCCATGTGGGTACATGGGTTTTGGGGGGAGGTAGGCAATAGTGCGTTTGGGTGGTTTTGGTGTGAGAGCTGAAGGCAAAAACGATGCATTTTCCTGACGGTCCATGTACCCAAATGGGAGTTTCCGAATATAGGGGTACCTTATTTGGGGCTCCTTATAATAGGGATCTTACTATTTAGGGTTACTATATGTGGGTCCCCTATTTTCGGAAACTTCCAAATAGTATATACATCGCCCCCAATGTACCGAAATAGGGCTACTTTTCGGCCAAAGTATAGACTATAAGAGTACATGGACCCTTAGGGTTTCAGAGCAGGCTCGTTGTGGCATCATTTTCCAGCACCCAAATCAACACATCCCGCCCTGATTAATGTGACAGTGGACACAACTGCATAATGAGGGTAGGCAGTTACTATTACAGTAGCTAGGATAACCAGTAACCTAAGAATAAAAAGGCCTCTCTTTTTGGTATTGGGTAACTTTATAAGGAACCTAGGACTACAAAAAGGGAATACGGGTACTACTGGGCATCCTAGCTACAGAAGACTGGCTCAAAAGAGGCTGTCCAACCGGATCGAAGGGACCTTGCATCGCTTCAGGGCTAAGGTTTGGGGTGTTACATGAGAGTTCTGTAGACTCCTGCTCCACGAGACCTAAGAGTAACCTAGGAATAAAATGGGTGCCCTTTTTGGTTTAAAGGGGTTTGTAAGGGAACCTAAACCTCAAAAAAGGGAATAAGGGCCTACTCTGGGTCCTAGTCCAGATTTCATTGGGTGTCATCATCTTTGCACTTGTCATCGTCCGACTTTTTCTGGCATCTTCTCCGAACTTGCCATCACGTCTGTGCAGATGCTTGCACGGTCTTGTTCCGTTCTGCTGCTGGTACCGCAAGAATGTTAATCATACCTGCAAGTTGCAATACTGCAAGACTGACCGATGGGAACACATATTTGTATCTGCTACAGGAACAGCGAACCCTGCACAGAATTATGGCTACTCCCACCACCAGCGAGCTCGTTACCCCAGGTCACGAAACCGTCGCTATGGATGGCAAGGAAAGCGTGGGCATTGGCTTGGATCTGCTGCACATTCTTCAGCTGATCCTGCACAGCACGACTGTTGCCCCCGTAGCGAGCATCACCCCAGGTGACGACCGATCCGTCGACAAGAATGGCTGCAAAAGCAGAGACGGTGGCTTGAATCTGCCGCACACTCGTCAGCTGTTCCTGCACAACCCTGCTGTCACCACCAAAACGAGCAGCACCCCACGTGACGACACTTCCATCGCAAAGAATGGCTGCGAAAGCACAAGAAGACCCCTGGATCAGCTTCACGTTCTTCAGCCGGCACTGCACAGCGCTGCTGTCACCACCATGCCCAGCGGGACCCCAGGTCACGACAGATCCATCACCAAGAACTGCAGCGAAAGCGACGAAATTGGATTGAATCTGCTGCACATTCTTCAGCTGACCCTGCACAGCACTACTGTCACCACCATATCTAGCAGCGCCCCAGGTGACGACGGATCCGTCGCCAAGAATGGCAGCAAAAGCACCACCACTGGCTTTGATCTGTTGCACTTTCTTCAGCCGATCCTGCACAGCACTGCTGTCAGCACCAAAGCCATCGTCGCCCCACGTCACGACTGATCCATCACCCAGAACGGCCGCAAAAGCACCAGCGGCACTACTGATCTGCTGCACATTCTTTAGCTGAGCTTTCACAGCACTACTGTCTCCAGCAGCGCGGGGATCACCCCATGTCACGACAGATCCATCTCCAAGGATGGCAGCAAAGGCACAATCAGCGGCTCGAATGTGCTGCACATTCTGCAGTTGATGCTGAATAACACTGCTGTCACCACCGCAGTCAGCAGCACCCCAGGTGACGACAGAACCATCACCAAGAACGGCAGCAAAAGCGAATCCGGTGGCTTGGATCTTTTGCACATTCTTCAGCTGATCCTGAACAGCACTACTGTCACCTCCATGGCCAGCATCACCCCAGGTCACGACCGAACCATCACCGAGAATAGCAGCAAAAGCGAAGTCCGAGGCCCGGATGTGCTGCACAGGACCCTTGAAGCATGTGCCGTGCCTGTCAACAGAACTTTCGTCAGCATCAAGCTTTCCACAGCTCGCGACATATCCATCACCCAGAATGGTAGCAAAAGCTCTGCTCGAGGCACATGCTTGAACTGAGCGCACTTGCAATGTCAACGAGTCCCCGTTCTGCACCTTGGCGGACATGATCGACAAAGATTCATCCAGAATGGTTCCAGTCTTATCCACCAGCAGCCCAAATCCAACTCCCAGCGCTTTCTGCGCCCGGATTTTGAATGCATCCACGTTCTCATCAACCCTTGCTTCCAGAGTAGCTGTCCTGCCACTGAGAAGGCCAACTGACACGTTAACCGACATGGCCCCGTGTAAACAGGTCCTCTACTTGCTGAGCGTTTTCTTAAGGGGCCAGCAAGGGCCCATCACCGGCAGTTCGATCCCCAATCCTGCAGTGAGTCTATCCCAAAGGCTCCATGTACCTTTATGGTTGATACTTAAGCCTTAAAGGGGTCCCTATATAGGTACTTTAAGGCCTAAGTATCTACTGTATGGGTACATGGAGCCTTAGGGTATGTGCCATCCTAGATACAAGCTCAAGCACACCCTCAGTCTTGAACTCTGCGTGACTTCTAAGCGGTAGATGTGCTAAGGGTTTTACCTGGAACTTTCAGCACGCATACTAGACCTAAGAGTACCCCCGGAATAAAAAAGGGTGCCCTTTTTGGGTTAAAGGGTGTTATAAGGGAACCTAAGCCCTGCTAGGATACAGATTCCGTCTTTGTAGAGCATGCTCCCAGACCCCCAGAAGGATCCAGTACCTAGATCTCCTAATCCGGGACCCTATGCTGCTATTGGAAATTTGATAGGAAACCGCTTAGTGGCCTTAGGGTATCTATTTTTAGATCCTCCCAGTGGTCTGGGTTTTGCAGAGTTCTGGCATGGCTCCGGGTTTCGGATTTAGTCCTTCTCATCCTTCACCCAGCACAGCCGCAAAGACACCGAAACCCCTCGAGAAAAGCTTGCACGCCTAAGCTCCCCTGAGGCCTTAGTACTTTGGGGTTTGGGGTTCCGGGTTTAGGGTATATCTCAAGTCGCTGCTCAGGATCTTGCGAGAGCTGTTGGTTCATTCCTCTACTGCTTTCGGCTGGACTCGAAAACCTAAAGCCCAAACGGCAAACCCTCAACCCTTGAGCCTGAGGCCTAAACTCTGAACCTAAGCCCTAAACCCTGAATGAACCCTAATCTCAAAAAAAAAGACCCAAGAGCGCAATGTAACCTAAGTCGAAGCCCCACACTCTAGACTCTATAACCTAAGTTCAATCCAGGCACTCCTCGTTCGGCCTGTAAGTACAATAACTGTGTCCTTTACTTCATAATACAAGCCCTGTGTAACAAGGATACACTTTTTTCAAATATTCGGTGCTAACAAGGAGATCACATGAAAGGGGGCAAAAGGGTACTACTGATGAACCTACCCTAAGACTCCATATAGTATATACTTATAAAGTACCTATATAGGGACCCCTTTAAGGCGTAAGTATCTACTATAAAGGTACATGGAGCCTTTGGGGATACCCTCTTCGCTTGAAGTGGACGATGGGTAGTTAACCCTAAACCCTAAACCCTAAGGCCCTAAACCCTAAAGCCCTAAACCCTAAACCTTGAACCCCAAACCGTTCTCTAAATGAAGGTCCCCTTTCCGGGTCCCCAGAAGAGTACGGAACCCTTACAAAAAGGATCCTGAAAGGGACCCACGGTTTAGGGTTTAGGGTTTAGGGATTTAGAGAACTGCGCATATGGGGCTGACTGCAAACTGTAAACGCGTGGGAGTTTCAGAAAATGGGGGACCCTAATATAGCACCCTAAGTAATAGTAGGATCCTTGTTATAAGGGCCCCAAATCAGGTACCCCGAATTGTTTTTCGGAAACTCCCAAACCTACACCCTAAACCCTTTATAGAACCTTAAAGATCCCTTTAAGGAACCCTTAAAGGAGTTCGGAACCTCCCACATCTCGCTGCTAGCGAGATGCGTTTGATTGCTCTAGGGCCGACGTGAAGTCGTCCAAAGCCACATAGCCCATGATTTCCTCGTTTGAGCGGGGAGTTTAGGGGTTTAGGGTTTAGGGTTTAGAGAGGTTAGTTTTCTGTAGGGCCGCTCCGGATTAATGTTTAGGCCCTACTAAGCCTCATCAAGGCTCCCAATGTTCAAGAGATTTGAGGGGGGTCTTATTCCTCAGACTCCCATATGGGAGTTTACGAAAATACGGGACCCTAATCTAGTACCTTAAATAGCAGGACCCTTATTTTTAAAGGACTCCAAAATAAGGTACCCCCCAAATTTTCGGAAACTCCCATATTTCTCTGTTGAAGCTCCTTTCACTGCTAGCTCCAGGTGACCTGCTGGCCCCGGGTAGCGCCGCAACAAAACCAATATAGGGCCCTGAATAATTAGAACAGAGTTTTGGAGGGCGCATTATACTACAATTCTAATACGGGGCCCCCCAAAATAGTATCGGTAATTATTTTAGCCCCTTCGGTTAATGTTATAAATCCTGCATTAGCTTAAGGACCCTTAACTGCGGGAATTATGGTATATTCCTTATGGGTAATGCAGGATTTATATCACCAACCGTATATTAGCCTTCCCGTCTAATGCAGGGCATAGATTTTCAAAGCCCACAGGTGAGATTCAGGGCTGACTTGCTCCAGGACCCCCTTAAGGGCCCTTCAAGAGAGTCCTTATGGCTTTCATTGTGGGTATTTGGGGTATATTAGAGGGTCGCCCTCAAGGGCCCTTCAAGAGAGTCCCCATAGCCCTTATTTGAGGGTAGTTGGGGTATATTAGAGGCTAGTTGGCGGGTAGATGGGGCAAAGGTTTGGGGTTCGGCGTTAGGTACAAAGCTTTCTGAGAGGTTCATGGGACCTAATAACTAATGGTTATAAACGAGGTAACTATACTTATAGTTGGTTACAACCCCAGTTAAGGTACATATAGCCTTACTTACTAAGTCCCATGAACCTCTAAGTTTGGGAAGCGTGGACCTGCGAGGTTCGAAACTCGCTTGGGAGGCAGGCAACATACTGTACTTCCTGAGGTTAAGGGTCTAGGGTTTAGGGTTTAGGGGGGTCTTAGGGTGTCGGGGCTTACGGTTTCAGGCCACAGGGTATAGGACAGCGAAAGTAGTGCGAAAAGCGCACCACCCCATACTGCAAAACAATAAATCCCAAACCCAAATCCTCAAAACCCCAAACCTTCGAAGCTCAATTTACAACCCAAGACCACGATTTAAGATTGAGGGTTTTGGCTTTCGGCTTTTAACCATACCCTAATAGACTTTAGAACCCGAAACCTTTAGAGCCCTTCCTTAAAGGGCTCCTTAAATCTACAAGGGTTCTATAAGGGAAGCAGGGAATACCTGGACCCCAAAATAACCTACCTTTTTGAAGGACTCATATAAGGACATCATATTAAGGAGCCCTCAAGATCTAGGGTCCTTATAGGGTCCAGGTGGACCTGAAATTATGGTAGGATCCCGAATATGACTTAAGGAATATTCATTATCTACGGGATATTGGAGTCTCCTAAACCCTAAACCCTCTACATCCCTCCAAGAAACCCTTAAAGGCCTTATAGATCCCCAGACCCCCCTAGGGATACTGGAATCTCTGGCAACCTGGCACTTCGGACCCCAAAGCGCCACCGCCAGGTGGCACAAAACCGTGTGACGTACTATACTGGGGATCGAAAAACGGTGAGTTTAGGGTTTAGGGTTTGAGCCTCATTTAGAGAACTAGCCATACCCTAAGCTTGCAGGGACCTTATTATTGGGTCCTCCAGGGGTCTAGGGCCCTAATTATAAGGTCCTCGGAAGCATAGGGATATAAGAGTTGTTGTGCAGCTCCGTCAGAAGTGCTGTCCCTCGCCTCCCTGTGCTTTGCTGATTGCTTACAGGCTGTTAACAAAACATTGAAACTATAAATTCGGATATAGGGGGCTGCATAATTAGAATATGGTTTTGGGGCCCATTATACTAAAAGTATAACAAGGAACCCCCAGAACAGTATAGGACATACTTATTGAGGCATCGCCCTGCTACCGGGTCATCGACAGAGGAAAGAGATGTGGCCGACGGTCGCTGGCAGGTTGATGCATGCAGCCCCGTCCGCATCCTCTGCATGTAGGATGCCTTCTCTCACCGTTCCCCTAAAGCGCAAACCCTGAGACCCTGAAAGCCCCAAGCCCCAAGCCCAAAAACCCTAAAACTACCGAAATCCTAGAAATAGCAAACCAGAAGAACCCCAAAGTCCCCATGTACCTTTATAGTAGATACTTAAGCCTTAAAGGGGGTCCCTATACAGGTACTTTACCTGGGGATCCAAAAACCTCCCGTTTTAAGGGTCAGGCCCTCTAATTAAGGGGTCATAACCAACTATTTTGTAGGGTTTGGGGATACAGGTAAGGCCTAAGTATATCCCTATACAGGTACTTTAAGGCCTAAGTATATACTAGTTGGATACCATGGAGCCTTATACCCTAAACCCTGCAGAACCCTCACAGGGGCCTTTTGAAGGACCCCTTAAATGAACCCTTATGGGTACATGGAGCCTTATGCCCCAAACCCTATAGAACCCTTCGAAGGACCCCTTAAAGGGATCCTTAAAGAAACCCTATTAATGGTACATGGAGCCTGATACCCTATAGAGACTTTATAGACCCCTTTAAAGGACCCTTTAAAGGATCCCTATCATAGGCCTAAATATATGAACTACATGGAGCCTTCGGGGAAGAACAGAAGACACCCCGAAGCTGCAGATGAGAGTCCCGCGGCCGCTCCCATCCTGCTCTCGGGGCTTTGAGCCTTTTCTTTGTACTAGACCCAAGAGTAACCTAGGAATAAAAAGGGTGCCCTTTTTGGTTTAAAGGGGCATATAAGGGAACCTGAGCCCTTAAAAAGGGAATAGGGGCCTACTCCAGGTCCTAGTGTAGATTTTGGGTTGAATCATAAGGGGTTTAGGGTTTAGGGTTTTGGGCTTAGGGTGTAGATTTTGGGAATTTACGGGTTATAAGGGGCTCCTTTAAGGGTACTATAGGGTTCTATAATAGGGCTCCCTTTAAGGGTTTAGGGTGTATATGGGAGTTTCCGAAAATAGGGGACCCTAATGTGGTACCCTAAAATAATAGGATTCTTACCATAATGCCATAAGGACCCCAAAGTAAGGTAGCCCTAATTTTCGGAAACTCCCATATAGGATTTGCTGTCGCCCAGAAACCCTACCGGCCCTACCAACTCCAGGATTCCTTATGAAAGTGCCTTTCCTGATTCTTCAATAACGCAAGTTTGTGGGCTAGAGGTAAGGTATTGAAATCGAAGAGTTTATGGTTGAGGATTACGAGTAATAGTGAGTTTGCTTCAGTTTGTAGGTGCTGTTCTGTGTTTCCATCAGTTTTGTTTTGGAGAGCTTTGAGTTTAGGGCTTTAGGGTATGACAACGGTGTCTACCGCCTGAAACAGGTCCTTGCCGGTTGAGGGCTTACGTGAAATCTAAAACCTCCAATGTACGACAACTTTTGTTGATATACGATTGTGTGGCTAGAGTTCTTCAACCAAAAAAGCGGGACAGAAACCAGGAACGAGTACACTACGGTCAGACAATACACGGCGATACAGACCGTTACATTTAGCTCTCAGGAACTCCGAAGACTTCTGGATGTCAAGGTACCGAAACCCCTGAGAAGCCTACGCGCTGAACCCCGGAATGGTTCTACAGGGTTAGGATACGTCCGCAAGGGGATGAAGAGCTTACGTCCTGACAGCCACCAAAGCATTAAACAACAGCCGTTGTGCTAGCCGCTAGCATACACATAACATGTATAATGCAAAAACAGAACCGTCCTATCTGCCCATGAAGCATGTAGACGAAGCACTTAGAAACCGTATCAAGAGGTTCTACACGCCGACTAGGAGACTGCTGCACGCCCTTGGAGCCAAACCCCAAAAGGCTACATTTCATCCATCCTTGCATGTATGGATGTGTGCATGTAATTATGTGAGTGGTTATCAAAATTAAGGTCCTTTTTTGAGTACTCTAAATATTAAGTGCCGTATTAAATTAAGGACCCCGAAGGGGACCCTACTTGTGTTAACCACCCATGTGTGTTTGTATGTACGTACGCGCATAGCTACGTAGGTAGGAAGGAAGGTAGCCGGGCAGGTCGGTCTGTGGGTAGGTATATGTACGACCTTTCAGGCGTATATGCACCTATCACGTATGTGTGTTTACATCTATGTTCCTGTAAAATATTCTAGCTGTGTGTGCAGTGCATTTTCGTATACACACAGACATACGTGCACACACATAGGTTACGCTGGCCAAAACAAAACTGGCATCGACCGTGTCAAACCTCGAGAACGGTTTAAAAATAAACCAACCTTGCTAATGCTAAACCTCCTGAGGATGCCCCATCTGCAATAAATCATACCTTCAAGGGATCCTTTAAAGGGTTCTGTTCAACGACACTTAGGCTAGTAGGGTCCCCTTTAAGTGCTCCTTTAAGGGTTCTTTCAAGGGCCCCTTTAAGTGCTCCTGTAAGGGTTCCTTTAAGGGCTCCTTTAAGGGCTCCTTTCAGGGCTCCTTTAAGGGCTCCTTTAAGGGCTCTTTTAAGGGTCCTTTAAGGGCTCCTTTAAGGGCTCCCTTAAGGGAACTTTACTATTCAGGACCTCTCAGTTTCCCCCCTAAACCCTAAACCCGGCCTTCCCTGGGCGGCGTCATCTCCTCCTTCCCGGTCGCGACGGAGGCGATGACGGTCTGGGAGTCCAGGTCGGCAGCCTGCGGGGCTCTGTTTGGGGTTTGAGGGTTTAGGGGTTTGAGGGTTTAGGGGTTGAGAGTTTAGGGGTTGAGGGTTTAGGGGTTGAGGGTTTAGGATTTAAAGGTTAAGTTAAGGATTTAGGGTTTAGGGTTTTTTGGTTTAATGTTTGAGGGTTTGAGAGTTTAGGGTTTAAGGGTTTAGGTTTTGAGGGTTTGAGGGTTTAAGGGTTATAAGGGTTTAGCGTTTAGGGTTTGGGGGTTCAAGGTTTAATGTTTAAGGGTTTAGGGTCTAAGTTTTTTTTTTTTTGTGGGCTCTTTTCCGACTGCAGTACAGCTAGAATTCCTTACCAGGATGAGCCAGGTTGTTGGGGCCTCGATAGGACAAGTAAAACCCGTAACTGAATCCCACCCCTTTCCTGAGGCCCCAACTTGAGACTGCAGTTTCGAGCAGTCTTGCGCACACGGCTGTTTCCACTGCTTGTTAGAGCTTCGCTTGGCACCGGACCGAGCAGCGACCATTCGAACATTCAAACACAATACTACCATAATGCTTCGTGCAATTCGTGTTGGTCCGCGACCATTGCTGTGGGCATGCTACGGCACAGTCTTAGGATGAAGTAACAGCACTTTCACTCACAGCAGAACATGCCCAGCTGTCTTAGCTCACTCGCGGGTCACTCACTGTTGTCTTGGTCGGCATCCTCCCTGCCAGGTCCGTGTTGTTCGTAGAACTTCCTGCCGTTAAAGTACGGGTCGGGGTTTGAGTAGATCTCTTCGTTCATGTCGGGCTGGTTGTTGACCTCGGGCACTTCGTCCTGTACCATGATGGTTTCGACCTCGCTCTCCGGTACTGTTTGCTCCGGCATTGTTGGCTCCGGCGGCGGTGCCCTGCTTGGGTTCGACGGCATAGCCTCGGGGTCTCGTGTACGGGATACGTTCATGGTGTCCCGCTGATCCAAGGCCTCCAGCACGTCTTCGGGGATGTCCGCCACCTCTCGGAAGAACGTTAGCATGGTCGGCGAAGCTATATCTACCACCGTGGTGTCGCTCACTGTGCCTGCCCTCCACCTGGCAAACAGTTCTCGCGTTGCCGGTTTGTGGAAGTCCAGCTGCGGCAACTGCTTGGGCATTGGTCGGCTTTTGGCTGACGGCTGCGACTCACGGAGGCATTGTGGCACATCTTCGTCCCGAAGCCGTTTGCCATCTTTCATCCAGCCCCCTTTGAAGTCTTTCTTCTCCATTTTTATGTGAAGCTGTAGCGTTGCCCCACGGTCCAATTCCCATTCCCACGCCTTGGACGTAGTGCCATCGTCCCAGCACAAGCCCACACATAGCCTTGTTCTGGTGGGCTCGTAGCTGAGTCCAGCCGCGGCTGCCATGGCTTCGTCATCTTCATCCGTGGTTTTGAGGTGGCCCGTGTGGTCCTGGCTGCACTCCTGCAAGTGGCGGAGGTAGGCTTCGTATCTTGCTTCTTCATGGGCTTGCTCCTCCTCTTCTGCTCGCCTGATCACCTCAGCGGCTGACACCTCTCTGTCCCATTCTTCGATGATGTCTCTGTCGATGTCCTGGAGCATGGCATCCCTGTTGCCGACGATTCGGCCCCACCCCGTAGCCACCCATGCGTGCTCCACAATGACGGCGTCCCCAGCTGCCACTGGCGGCACGTCGCCCGAGACACTGATAATCAGGGCCTCCAGTGCCTGTCGGTCCACCAGCAGTGGTCCATCGTGTTCTTGTAGACGGTTCATTAACTGGAGGGCGCGGCTGGTGGCCTGGTCTGCCGGCAGCTTATGGAAGGCTGTCTGCAACATTTCCAGGATGGTCTTCTTGGCGGCCGGGTGGGTGTCCTTGGTGGGCAGCTTGACTCATCGTCCTCTTCGTATGCCGATGGGCGTTTTTTGGACGGTGCCGACGGCTCTGAGGGCGCGGGGTCTTCTTCTGCTTGGAGGCGGTGTCGTAGTGTTCGTGCCCGTTGGATTGCCGTGGCAACGTCCATTTGTAGTCTTGCCATGAATTCTGGGAGGACATCTGTCATGGCGTTGCGCAGGTGTTCCGGGTAGTCCACTAAGGTCTCGACCATGTTGTCGGCAATATGTGCAGGTAGGAGCGGACTCGTACTTGGGCTCAACGTGTCTTGGGGTTGCATATCGAAGAGAGCCTGCCATACTGCCATCATGTCATCCTTAGTCATTTCCGCCTGCTCACTGTGTGCGGCTCCCGCGGTCTTGTCCTCCTCGGTCTCGGCGACTGCTGCCTCCGGTGTCCGTGGTGCAGGTACCTCGGCAGCGCATCGGGCACTCGCTGGTCGTTGTTTAGGGGCCGGAGTCCTTTTCGGTGAGGTCGATGGTGGTCGCGCTTGCAGTGGAGGGTTGTTTCCCTATTCTTCCACGGCGGGCGCAGCGTGCGGACACTGGAGCTTTTCCTTTCCGGTGGTAGCTCTCTCCATAGTCGGGTTGGAGATCGTTTGTGTGCTGGGACGTCCTTGGCTTTCCCTGACATGAGGGACGATGTGTCTGCCTCCTCCTTGTCGATGTCGGTGTTCTCGTCCAGGTCGATCGGCTGTTGGTTCGGCCTCCCTGGCGTCAAACTGGTGCGGAAAGCTGCCCTGGTAGGTGCCGGCGGTGCCGGCGATCGTGAGCGATGGCGGGCGTCTTGAGTGCTTGCGCAGCTTTCGCTGTCAGATGTTTCCACATCCGTCATGTCCAGGCACCCACACGGCTGCATGGGCTTGCCCCGGATGAGGAGGTGACTCTCTCTGTACCATGCCCTGTCTATGAGGTATTTGATCTTGTCCACAAGCGTCTGTGCCTCCTCGGTGGCGACCGGTGGGTTGCGGAATGGAGTACCTCTTTCTTGAAGTCTTCGTCCATGCACCCACCACCTGTGGAGGAAGTGGTTGCGAATGAGCTCTGTGTCCACCCTTCAGGATCTTGCTCGTATTCACGGAACGCTTGGCGGAATAGTTCCATCAGGGATTTGGCTGGTAGGCCTCTTGTCAGGTAGTCGACCCCTCTGTCAAGGTACGTCCAGAACCAGGACGGTGCGTCGTGTGGGAGGAATGGCTCGTCCCACGCATGAGCCATCCCCACCAGGAAGGGCATCTGCCATCCGAGTAGACTGGAGAGGTCGTCTTGGTCTGCTTGGTGTGCAGGGTCGTGCTCTCCATGGTGCCCCGGGCGTCCTCGGTGAGCAGCAGCTGGAACTTGCGGTCGATGTGCAGGTAGTCGGCGTCGTAGTTCGCTCCGGGGCAGTTTGCGTGGTGGTAGTCCGAGGTCCGGGTTCTCATTCTTTGCTTGGTATGGTCGCTCCAAGGCTGTTGGGTTGGTCTCGGCCGTTTTGGTCGGCGCTGCATGGCCTCGGTGGTGTTCGGAAGCATGTAATGCGAGTACAGGAGGGTCTCGTTGGCGTAGTGCACCCCGATCTTGCGGTTGATGTACTGGTAGTCCACGGTTGGTCTTCTCAGGTTCGGTCGGCTTGGTGCGAGCGTGCCAGGTCCTCGCGTGTGTAGTCGCTTGCATGTCTCCATCACTCGGTAGGTCTTGTGCGGGGTGTGCACCTCTCTCGTAGTTCTTGATGGTCTGCAGGAGCGGGGTATGTGGCATCCTCACTTCCTGGTCGGCGCCCATGCTGTGGTGTGGCCGTCATTGGTGTAGTCGAATTTGTGCCGGGGTGCGATGTGCTTGTTCTTCTCCTCGTGAGCGGTGCTCTGGACGGGTGGTCGCCGGCGGTCAGGGTGGCATACAGCAGAATCGTCACGAGCTGCAGCGTGGCACTGTTATGTAGGGACAGGGCTTACAAACGACCTGCAAGTTCTACCTCTGGTTGACAAAGGGCTGCGCATTTGGGTTTTCGACAGCGGAAAGGGTTAGGTAGGTTCGTTTGTCAGGGTTGTTCAGTAGGAGAAGTAGGGTAACGTGGGTAACCTCCTTTCGTTCATGGTCGTTGCTCAGCCATTGGCGTCACCTCAGCGACCTGAGCGATGTGGCATCACGTGAATGTGCTGTACAGAGATTATGCATTGAGGGCCAATTGTCTACCTGAGGCCCAGCGGATATCCATGTTAGCTACCCAGCTGGACTCGAACTGTTTCCAGGCTTTTGGGTCCTGTGCAGTCTGTCGCCAGTCCTGTGAGGAACACGCTTTGTTCATTGCTTCCTCCTCTTTGGTGTGATACGCATAGAAGCTTCCCCGGTGGGTGATTCCATCGGTACGCCTTTGTTGCTCTCTCCACCACTTCAGGGTTCGGTAGGAGTCCATGTACGAGCTAGCGGGTGGTAGGGTTCTGGACATCCCCCTTGCAATGTGGTCTTTGTACGACCAGAACCGTTTGAGCCATGTTGTGGACCATCTCTCCATGCCATGTCAGTGTACTATATTCCGTGCCGCCCGTAGGGAACGCTGCCTCCAATCTAGCCATGTCTCTTCTGTTTTCCTACGGAACCCTGCCATCTTCGCTACCAGTGTGTTTCTGCTGCTCATTGCATGTGCATTCGGAGACACCGCTGAGCTGTACCATAGCAGGCTTCCGCCGACTATCGACCTGAACATCTTAAGCTTGCTCTTGAGGGGTGCCTCAGCGAGAAACACATGTTTGTTAGCGTAAAACTTCTTTGACGCTTTAGACATGGCAGTATCCATAATGCTGGTAGGCTTGAATGGAACACTGAGGGGAATGCCGAAGACCGTCAGGCTCTCGCTTGGCTCAATCATGTTGTCGTCTAGCTAGCTTGATCGGTCCAGGGGTAGTCGAGTAGGGCGAATGATAGTAGCCTGTCTTCTCTGGGTTGACGTGTAGTCCCCAGCTGGCTAGTTCATCGCGTAGTATGTTGTACTTCCGGATAAGGTGGTCCCTCGATCCAGCGGCCAGCGGCGAGGATCGTGTCGTCCATGAAGAGCAGTTCCGCTAGTGGTAATTAATTGAGGAGCGCTGGGGACTTCGGATGGCCAGTTCTTCTTCTTCACTGCGTCGTACAAGGCTGTTTCGATCGCAATTGCAAACAGGAAAGGGCTCTCCACTGCTCCCTGGCGTATTCCTCTGCCTTGGGGTATTTCTGCATCCCCCCATGGGGTCTTGAGTACCGCAGTGCCTTCATAGAACAACCTTTCCCAGCATTTGTACTCCAAGAACATGTGGGGTGGTAGTCTATCTCTGAGTATGCCAAGGGTTTTGTCGCGAGCCAATGTGTCAAATGCTTTGCGGATGTCCAGCTTGCACCAGCTCAGGCGCAGGTGCCACTCTGTGTCCAGGGTGAAGGTCTTTTCTGCGGATTTACTGCGGAAAACAGGTAGTCCCATGTGTGACGACCGTTGTGTGCACATTGAGCAGGCCCTAGAGGTGCAATATGACGGCGTGTTCGCATCAACAACATGGTGCCAACAAATTTGGAGGCAGCTGCGCCTACACTGATGGGGCGTAGATCTCCTGGTCCCTTGGGTTGCTCGGTCTTAGGGAGAAGTGTCACCACAGTTCGCAGCCATTCTGGGGGGAGTTCTTCTCCACAGCGGAGCCTCTCCATCCAGTCCAGGAAAGCAGCTTCGGTGTCGGAGTCCTCACACAAGGTACTGATCAGCTCGAAGGATACTAGGTCTTCGCCCACGGCCTTGTTCCGCCTTCCTCTTTGTAGTGCGTGTCGAAGCTCTTCCAGGCTGTAGTGTTCACCTGTGTCGATTTCCTTAGTGGGTTGCGAGGGGATGGCTTCTGGAACAACGCACGGAAATGGCTCGTGGTCCAGCGCATCGGGTCCTGACCTTGGTCTTCCGCGGATTGAACATAGTGTATAGTCCATTCGGACCCACCTTGGTTTTTGAGGCCGCGGTAGTCTTGCCAGTTTCCTGCAGCGGCTTTCTCAGCTTTGGACGTTCTCCATTGGATTTGGGCTTTCCGTCTCTCTTTGTGGGCTCTCTTCCAGTCTGCCTCTGTGCCGTGGTGTTTGGCGATAGCATACAGGCTCTTGACGTGCGGAGGGTCCTTGTACCTCTCCCCTTTCCTAGGTCTTGTACAGTCGATTGCCAGTTGGTGCAGTATCTCTTGGTTCATGTGTTGTGTTGTCGGCGGCTGCTTCACAACCACCCTAGGCCGTGTCAAGGTTTTAGCCGGTGGTGGGCGGTCTCCCAATCGTAGTCTGAAACTCGTAGAGATTCTCTCATGGTCTCCCTTGACGATTTGTTAAGTGACTATCTACATGGATGTGTGTGGGGTCCAGCTGAGTTTGTTTGGACGCCACTCCATCTATCTGTCTGCCCTTAGCTCTCGCTCTTCGAGGCCGGCTTGTCGGTACATCCCACTGGTCCTCCGTCGGGGCTTGCATGGTCATGCCACACGTGCCTAACTGTGAGAGTACGTACTCTGATCTGGCCTCGGTAGGTCTGAGGTCCGCGCGGCTGCCTGAGACTCTGCTCCATTTCAGGTGTGTGTTCCAATCCCCCATCAAGATGACTGGCAGTAGGGTCGGGGGCAAGAGTGCGCACAGGCTCTGTAATTCGTCAGCTGTGACGTCGCTAGTCACCCCTGTGCTCAGGCGGTGGCTTCCTATCCACACCTCATTGCTCGACGGTAAGTGCCGAAGTCTGAGCCATATGCCGTACTTTCCGCCCCTTCGGCGAATCACCTGAAAGTCTGAGGAGAAAGCGATCGCGTTCCCGCGCCACTGGGTGTCATCGTGGCGGTACTGGACCACCGTAAGGTCGCTGATCACGTCGCTTTGCCACCCCACGGTCCTTCGAGGCATCTCCTGGATACAAAAGAGGTCCACTTTTCCTTTGGCATCCAGTCGGGTAGACTTGATAGCATCTTCGATGCTGGTCCCCCCTATGTTCCAGCTGGCTACCGAAATTGTCATGTACTGCATGGCAGGGACAGCAATCTGGTGTGCGCTGTGTGAAGAGGCAGAGGTATCTGCTCTTCCGGTGCAAGGTATAGAGTGTTCCCGCACAGTTGCCGTGGAATTGGCAGCCGTGCCAGATTCGAAAGGTTCCGTAACGGGCGAGCTAGGTCTAGGATCGAGGCTCGCAGTAGTGGTGTGGCGATGGCATGGAGTTGTTCTCCTATCGCCCGAATTAAGTTCTTGCATCGTGCACGGCCGTGTAGGCCTGGGTTCCCGGTCTGTGACCAATTGCGGCTCAGTGTCAGTGTCCTCTTTTCAGTAGGACATGAGGTCGTCCCACTGTTTCTCAAGGTCGTCGGCGGACACTCGCAGCATGACGCTAATGCTTTGGAGGTCAATCCAGCTGCGGGGCGGTTTGCCGGCTTTACATCCCTGGCGCGGCGGCGGGCGTGTAGCCGATGACATGAGCTGGCTGCAGCACCAGACGCTTCCTGCAGAGTATTTTGTTTCCACATAAAGCTTGAGGCTCGGGTCCGCGGCAAGAATGAGGCGCTTGGTCTTCCCCGTGTGGTTCGACAAGAGGCGCTCCTCCCGGCTTTTGCCCAATGTGGCCCGTAGGGTCTTGTCCTGATCCATGCTGGGGGCTCTGAGGTTGGCCCTCTGCACCTGCTGCGCGATGGTAATAAGTCTCCGTTTGAGCTGGGTACCACTTTCTGTATGGTCGGTTCGTACAAAGGTCATGGCGAAGCCTCTGCGCGGTCCGGTGCAGAACATTTCCTCGAAGGCCTCCGCGAGTCCGAGCTGCTTGAGGCAGTCGTCCAGTTCTTGGAGTAAGGTATCTTTGGGCGTGTCCTGCGGCCATCCCGCCATGATGAGTAGATTGGGTCTTCCGGATTCTGACGCCACTGTCGAAGTAGAAGGGCCCTTTTCCTCCAAGGCCCGGATCCGTGATTCCATCTGGTCGTATTGGTCTCGAAGTTGCTCTATGTGGTCTCCTTGCTTTCTCACATCTTTCTTGATGGTCGTCAATTCTTTGAAGGTCGCGGTTTTCAGGTCGAGGAGATCTTGCTGATGGCTCTCTTGGATCTGCTGAGTCTGGGTATCCAGGAGACCGCGTAGGTCTTCCAATGTAATCCCTCTGCTCTCGGCCTTCGCCCTGGTTCGGGAGGGGGTCTCCATCTGGCCTCTTCTCTTGTTCCCGCCAGGCCCGGTGCTATCCACAGGGATAGCTTACACACCAAAATCTTATTCGACTTTATGTTGTCGGTGTCGGGTTTGGTTCACTGCCAACAAAGGGCCTAAAGACCTAAGTGTATATGACCATCTGGACAACGTCTCCAGAGATGTGTTCCTTGTGGCCTCTCTTTCCAACAAGAAAACCTCCACCACTGGTTGGAAGTTGCAGTTAAACACGGCTATGCTTGTCGGCGGAACGCTTTATACAGTTGCCATACATGTACAGCCTACACCAACTTAGTTACTCATCAGCATTCGTCAGGCCTTAGAAAACCCTAAACCCTAAACCCCTAAACCCTCAACCCCTAAACCCAGTTGGAAACCCCATAGCCTCGATCCCGAAGAGTACTGTAAAGGGAATCCCAGCTCCATTTGGCCTAAATCCGGTTTCCGACTTGCTGGCTGGCATCAACCACTTGCAGGTCCCATGCCGTGATGCGCCTGCGCAAAAGCCTCCAGAATTTCGGCGGAACGGCAGACATCGTTAAGATGCCGCCGAAGGTGCTCTCTGGACCCCTGCAAGGTTCTGCATCTGCTCTTCAAGGTCCTTGTCAGCCTCCCAGCTTCCGCCAGCTGTTCTCTGGCGTGAGCGAGCAGTCGGTCGGTCTGGACGCGAATGTTTTGGCGCTGCAGTGCTAGGGTTTAAGGGTTAAGGGTTTAGGGGTTTAGGGTTTAACTTAACCCTGAAGGACCTACCTTTTTAAGGACTTATATAAGGAAATCATAATAAGGAACCCTAAAAAGGTAGGTTACTCAGGGCTAAGGTAGGGTTTAGGGTTTGAGGGTTTAGGGTTGCCCTAAACTTAATGCATTAAGCCTTAAACCATACACACTTAATCCTGATAGATCCCTAAAAACCTTTGAACCCAAAACCCTTCAAGGCCCTTTAAGATCCTTGGGCCGTCACCCTTTGCGGAGCCATTATACTATAATTACAATAAGGAACCACCAAAATAGTATAGGTAATTCTGCAGGCCCCCCTAAACCCTAAGCCCTAACCCCTGAACCCTATAGATCCCTTTTAGGAGCCCTTATATGAACCTTTATAGGCTATCCCTTTAAAGGAACCCCCCAAAGCCCTAAAGGCTTCACCTCACCCTTTGCCCAAAGGCTCCATGGAGCTTTATAGTAGATACTTAAGCCTTAAAGGGGTCCCTGTATAGGTACTTTAAGGCCTTAGTATATACTAGTTGGGTACCATGGACCCTTGTACCCTGAACCCTATAGAGACCTTATAGAACCCTTTGAAGGACCCCTTAAAGGAACCCTATTATTCCAAGGGTAAAAGGAGGGACCCTTAAAAAGAGGACCCTAGGTATATACCCTGAATATAGCTATTATATACCCATTATAGGCTAGGGGTCCCCATTAAGGGTCCCTCCTTGTCCCCTTTGAATTATGGGTACATGGAGCCTGGCACCCTAAACCCTATAGAACCCTCAAAGGAACCTTTGAAAGACCCCTCAAAAGAATCCTTAAAGGAACCCTATTATGGGTACATCGAGCCTTAGGGCTTTGCGCAGCCTTGATGTCCAGATCGGCCGAGAGCTCGACGATTCGCCAGGCCTTGGCCTCGTCGCTGAGGGATTTGTTTGAAGGTCTCTTTAAGGGTTGAGGGTTTATAGGGTTTAGGGCATTTAGGGTTTAGGTTTAGAGTTTAGGTTTGGGGATTTGTTTTGAAGGTTCCTTTAAGGGTATCTTTGAGGGTTCTATAAGGGATCTACAGGGCTCCTTTTTAAAGGATCTGTATAGGGTTTAGGGTTTGGGGATTTCCCGAAGAAGACTCCGACATCTCTTCAAAGGGTTCATAAGGCCTTTAAGGGATCTATAGGGTTTAGGGTTTAAGGGGGCTCCAATATCCCTTAACTAAGGAACCTACCTTATGTCATATTCGGGATCCTATCATGTTTCAAGGCCTATTGGCTAATTAACGGATATTGGAGTCTCTGGAATTGTTTGGCGGTTTCTTTAAAGGGTATCTATAAACGGTCTTTTATACGGGTTCCTATAGCCCTAAGGGTCCATGTACCCATATAGAGATACATGGGCCCCAATGTACCTATGTGGGGACTACATGAAGGCCAATGTATATACTATATGAGTACATGGACCCTTAGGGTAGGGATTCCTATCAAGCACAGGCATCTGTCGATCTCGGCCCTTGCCTGCAGGTGGCCTTGTGCCGCTCGCCTTTGCCTGGATCTGGGCTACGGTTGATGATATATATCCTGCATTACCTTAAGGACCTAAACTATGGGAATTATGGTATATTCCTTATTATGGATAATGCAGGATTTATATCATCTACCGTATTGGCTGAGGCCACAGACGCCGGCAGGGTGGCTGCTGCCGTGGCAATGGCCTCCTCCAAGTCCGGAGAAACATCGCCGTCCGGAGACCGGCCATGTCCCCTGCCTCCACGGGAGGCAGCTCGCACTTCGGCGGTGGCTTCGGAACCCCGCTCTGGTGGGTGCCAGTCAGCCATGGCACCTGTGGCACTGGTACGATAGAAGCTGCCCCCACCCTGTAACAGTGACTATAAGGAGTATACTAGGGCCCTATTATATTCCTATTATACCACTATTACAGGGTGGGGGCAGCTTCTAACTGGTACGTGTGAGCCGCCTGGTTCGGGCGGCCGCGGCCACTTCTCAGAACTTACCTAGAATGGGGAAACTATACTCGCAATGATAGGGACTCCCATAAAGGATGCTATAGGGTTAACCTGTGGATCCAAGAACCTACCGTTTCAAGGGTTCTACTCTCTCATTATAGGGTCATGCATAACGTATTTTGTAGGGTTTGGGGGCCACAGATGGGGGAGTTGCTGAAAAAAGGGGACCCTAATATAGTACCCTAAATAGTAGGATCCTTATTATAAGGACCCCAAAATAAGGTAACCCCAATTTTCGGAAACTCCCATAGGGGTTTGGGCGTTGGGTTTGAGGTCTAGAGCTCTGGCCTTGTCGGAGTAGAAGATCGCGGCCTTGCCCTGCTTCAAGTACCTCGGGCTTCATTTATACAGAACTGCGGTTTAGGGTTTAGGGTTTAGGGTTTATACAGAACTGTGCTTAGGGTTTTACTGCGGTTGGTCGGGTCTGTATTGTGAGGTGTCATGGGCATTTCTACTTGGAAGGGCAGGGGACTTAGTACGTAGGTTATAAGTAGAGTTATAAGTACCCTAAATGGAGTTACCCCAATTATAACCCTACTTATAACCTACTTACTAAGTCCCCTGCCCTTCCAAGTTGGTCTAGGTTCTGGGCTTTCGGCGTTGAAGTGTTTTAGCCTTCATTTTGCTTGAGGCCCCTTGACTGAAATACTTCACATAGCCTATGGCCCGAAACCCTACAAAATAGTAGGTTATGTCCCCTAAATTAGAAGGTAGAACCCTTAAAACGGTAGGTTTTCGGATCCCCAGGAGAACCTTGGTGTATGTTGTACTAACATTAGCATCACGAGCGCTCAAACTGGCATTACTACTTCTCCCGACTTCGGCACTACCTCGTCATAATGGTTTTTTTTGCGGATCAGGGAGCCTTCAAGGGCTCTTTCATGCAGTCCTTATGGCCCTTAATTGTGGGCATTTTGGGGTATACTAGAGGGTAGTTGGGGGGTCCAGGATAGCAGCGCTATGGGTTCAGGGCCCTTTGGGGTTGACCGGCGTTCAGGGTCTGAGGGCTCAGAGCTTTCGGTTTAGGGTTTATAAGGGCTTAGGGTTCATACTCACAGCTTATAATCCATAGGTCTCATATGGACTCACTTTCTACTATCTTGTCAAAGTGTAGGGTTTACGTCTGAGGTCTAGAGACCAGAGTCTAGGGTTTGGGGTTTATTGCTTGACGGACTTGTGAAATTGTGCTGGGGCTGTACAGGGGTAATGTAGTACGGGGTTTTTATGTTGGGGATATGGCAGGGTTCGGTTCCTATGGGCGGTAACACATTCAGGGATCACCTGCGAATAGTCTGAGTGCAACATTACAAAGGAGGCCAAGGAACTCCACACCGGAAACTTGTTGAAGCTTTGAAAATCGCTGGGTTGGCCTTTAAACACCCTGAAAAAAATTTTTATATAGGGTCCCTTATAAACCCAAATGGGGATGCGTGAAAATTCCGTATCCATCTGCTTGTCCCTCAACAGCGTTATCGTTTTTTCTACTCTTATCGTTTTACAGTACTTTGGATGACTTTGAAACTGTTGGATGTGTCACATATTCGTTATCGTTTCATTTTACTCTTATCGTTTTACAAGGAAATCGATTGCTCTCGCCTGTCGGGCGCATCTACTTTAAAAACTGCTCTCCGTGTTTTTTTATCATCCCTCAAATGAGGAAAATAAAAAATGTCCCAAAATCCAACCTAGATAGTTCAGTCGACATACCTATAGAAGACCATCAGTCCTTCATCGCGAAAAAGAATATCCCGGCCACACCCTACCTGTGACTCCAAACCCTACAAAATAGTAGGTTATGACCCCTTAATTAGAGGGTCTGACCCGTAAAACGGTAGGTTTTGGGATCCCCAGGTACATTGTCTCATCTTCTTGGCACTGCAAGAACCGATGCCATACACCCTTCAAAACCCCAGGACCGCCACGCCCCCCCAAAAAACCCTAGACCGCCCAAAGCCTTTGGGGGTTTAGGGTTTAGGGTTTAGGGTTAAGGGTTTACCGTCCGAGACTGCAAAAGCGCGTTTATCCCCCAGACCTATAACAAGCATCAGAAGCGAGTGACATGGCCATTCCGTTCCGTGCTCCACTGCGGTTGTAGACCCCTGTCGGTGGTTGGGGGTTAACCGGGTGCAATGACAACGGACTATAGGGAATAGTACCATCATTTATTCCGACCCCTATATATTTGTAGGATATAGGAGTTTCCGAAATAGGGGACCCCAATATAGTGCCCCAAAATTATAGGATCCTGATTATAAGGACCCCGAAATAA